TTTTTTTTTAGATTTAGCTATTTATTATAAGCACCAGATCTCATTACAGATGGTTGAGAGCCACCATGTGGTTGCTGGGAGTTGAACTCAGGACCTCTGGAAGAACAGTCAGTGCTCTTAACCACTGAGCCATTTCTCCAGCCCCGGCCTAATTCACTTTCTATCTAACTAATCTTCAACTATAACTAACTAATCTTCAACTCCCTCAGAGACCCAAGAAGGAAATAATATTACCTAATAAAAAATAAAAACAGGAAGTGCATGCAAGCAACTTCCAAAAAAAAATGTGAGTTGACAGAAATAGCCAGATGCCTGGACAGACACCTGAGGTTTCTCCGAAGTGTATAGCTCATTTAAAATTGTAATGGATAATTAAAAAATAGATTAATAATTAGTCATCTATGATAATCATACTTGTAGCCATGTTAGTTAAGTCTTCTAGGTATACATAGATATATTTCAGATAGGTAATCTTCAAATACTTCAAAGACCTACAGAATATGGCATTTAAAATATTTTAAAAATTTAGACTTTCTGGACAGTGAGACATGTCTGCTCCTGGCAGCACCAATTTACTTCAGAGAGGAGGTAAAGACACTGCACATGGAGTTTATCTTCACCTTGGCAAAAATAGCCATTTGGACAAGAAACTGTTCTTGCCTGGACTGCTTGATCGACTGGACATGCAGGACCCATGGAAAGGTGACCACTGAACTTTGCTTGGCAAAATGGTCCTTTAGGTTCCTGCTTCACAGAGAAAACTGCCAGACATTCTACAGGACACAGAGAAAAATGATTGAGAGACTCTAGCCCTGTGGGCTGAAGACAGATGCCCCAACTTTACAAGAGAACTTTGGATGACTGTCCAGGCTGCCAGCTGTCTCTGTCTACCCTGCAAGACTCCTGAAAGTTGCTTGCATCCTTCTCCTGTTTCTCAGGTAATATTATATCCTTCTGAGGTCTTTGATGTAGTTGAAGCTAGATAGTTATAATTTTCCTTAGTTATGATAAAAGATAAGTTAGATATGAAACCTCAGACTCACAAATATAAGATAGATAGGATATCTTCTTTAATTTTGCCAAATAGACTAGTTATTATAAATAGACTAGATATTATATCTGTAATTCTTGCTTGATAATTGTTTTGTTATTTGTAATTTTACTATGAAAAAGTTAAAACCTTCCTTTAAAAAAAAGAAAAGGGGAAGTGCTGTGGGATGTTCTGTATGGCAAATATGTTAATAAATAAAACACTGATTGGCCAGTAGCCAGACAGGAAGTATAGGCAGGACTAACAGAGAGGAGAATTAAGGGAACAGGAAGGGAAGGAAGAGACTGACTGCAGCCGCCGCCAGGACAAGGAAGATGTAAGTTACCAGTAAGCCACGAGCCACGTGGCAAAGTATAGATTAATAGAAATAGGCTGAATATAAGAGTAAGAGCTAGACAATGATAGGCTTGAGCTAATGGCCAAGCAGTTTAAATAATATAAACATCTGTATGTTTATTTTATAAGTGGGCTAAGGAACTGCGGGGGCTTGGTGGGACCCGGAGAGAAAACTCTCCAGCTACAAGTAGTCAAATGATAGACCTTATAGGAGGTTAGATGTATGTCTTAGGTTTTTATAAATCTGTTCTTTTTAGCTCCACTTTTTTTGGGAGATACATTGATATAAGTTTTATAAATTTTTGTTTTAAAGTCATATTTAACATTAGGCCTGGTTTTAAAGGTATATATACACAAAATAAAAAAATTTATATGTTAAAAAATCTAAAAGTTAATAATTCATATAAATTAGAAATAAAAAACAGCCACTGGATCACTTGCTATTTGTAATTTCAGCCATTTAGTAAATTGTGGAAGGAGAATTGTTTCAGCCTAGGAGTTCAAGGCCAGCCATGATAATATGGTCATATAATATATATAAAGAGGTTGGAATTTAATTTAACAATATCATTAAATCATTTTTTTATATTTCAAAATTCTAATGCAGAAGGACAACATTAAAGCTAATTAAAAGCCTGGTGTAGTGGTGCACACCTTTAATCCCAGCACTCAGGAGGCAGAGCCAGGCAGATCTCTGTGAGTCTGAAGCCAGCCTGGTATACAGAGCGAGATCCAGGACAGCCAGGACTACACAGAGAAACCCTGTCTTGAGGAGGGGGGAGCTAATGAAAACATTCATTTTCTATCTTTTTTTTACTCTTTGTCAATTTCAATATCACAAAAATTATGTCTTTCTGGTAATTTGAAGAAACCATACCCAAATCACTCTGGTCACAATGATTCTACATTTAATCTTTAAAAATAATAAGTATGAGGCTGGCGATGGTGGCACACGCCTTTAATCCCAGCACTCGGGAGGCAGAGGCAGGCAGATCTCTGTGAGTTCAAGGCCAGCCTGGTCTACAGAGTGAGATCCAGGAAAGGCACAAAGCTACACAGAGAAACCCTGTCTCTAAAAAACCAAAAAAAAAAAAAAAAAAAAAAAAAGTATGGTCTTATTTTCTCTATGGATTTGCAAACCACGTAGGACCAACATAAAAAAATGGGAGCTAAACCCCCACATTGTTGTTGTTTGCTTTTTACTCTTTTGAGGGCCTGCCATTCAGCTTCCCAAATAAATCACACACAGAGGCTTATTCTTACTTATAAATGCCTGCCCTTAGTTTGGCTTGTTTCTTGCCAGCTTTCCTTAACTTATATTATCCTGTCTACCTTTTGCCTCTAGACTTTTCCCTTTTCTTCTGTAAATCTTACTCTTACTCTGTGGCTTGCTGTGTACCTGGGTGAGTGGCCTCTGGAATCTGCCTTCTTCTCTGGCTACTTCTTTTTCTTCCTCATCCCAGATTTCTTCTATTTATCCTCTCTGCCTGCCAGCCCCACTGGTTTCTCTCTCCTGTCTCATTATTGACTGTTCAGCTCTTTATTAGACCATCAGGTGTTTTACACAGGCACAGTAACACAGCTTCAAAGAGTTAAACAAATGCAACATAAACAAAGTAACACACCTTAAAATAATATTCTACAACAAGGATCTCTGTGAATTTGAGGCCAGCCTGTAGATATAACCAACTGTCTTATTAAATAAGAAACACAGAGCCAATACAGAGATGAAAGCCAAGAGGTCAGAACAATAGCTAAGAGCTAAAAACCTTACCCTTTACTGTCGCTGTACCTCTCCGAAAAAGAACTATTTCCTGTGTGTTTGTCTTTACAAAGACTTTCTGTTCTGCCTTCTCATTGGTTGCAAACCCAACCACATGACCGCCTCATCACTGCCTGTCTGTACAGACCTCCAGGTCTTCTATGGTTGGTATTGAGATTAAAGGCGTGTGTCTCCATGCTGGCTGTATGCTTGAACACACAGAGATCTACCTAGCTCTGCCTACCAAGTACTGAAATTAAAGGCGTGTACCACCACCGCCCAGCTTTCGCTTTGGCTTGCTAATAGCTCTGACTCCCGGGCAACTTTATTTATTAACATACAAATAAAATCACATTTCAGTACAAATAAAATATCATCATACCAACCTGGTCTAAAAATCAAGTTCTAGGACAGCCAGAGCTGCTACACAGAGAAACCCTGTCTGGGGCGATGGGGTGGAGAATTCAACAAAGCCATAGCCTTGGTGCTGGCCAGCGACTCTTTGGCATGTGGGTGCTTACTATTTATTGGCCTTGCCTGAAGAAAGATTTCCAATAATAGTGCCTCACCACTCTTCTCGACATTCCTATCCCCTGTCCCCCAAGGTGGCATCCTAATTTATTTGGAGATCTACCCAATAGCCAGGGTGGGGAATGAAAAAACAAAAACAAAACAAAACAACAAAACAACCCACTTCTAACCAGCAGCCTCTCTGGCTTCCTTATATTTAGTCTTTGACATCATTCCAGAATCTTTCAATTATCCTCAGCCTGCTTACATATCTTGCTTTATTTGGAATTAATTTTGGTGTCTTTGTTCCTAGGACGTTGTCTCTCTGTTTTTTTTTTTTTTTTTTTTTTTAAATGAGCAGACAGCCACTATTGATTGCACAGACTTTTAAGACCAGATGTGAGCAACTTGCAGAGGCAAGCAGACTTCTGAGAGGTCCAGGATATTCTGATCTACATAGTTCCAGGCCGCCCAGGGATACATGGAAAGACCCTGCCACAAACAAATAAAGTATACACAGGAAGGAAAAAGGAGTAGGGATATATTTATTTCCAAATCTCTGTATGACCTTGATTAGATTGTCTTTTCTTTCTTTTTTGAGACAGTTTCTGTGTGTGTGGTGGTTGTTTTTATGAGACAGGGTTTCTCGATGTAACAGCCCTGGCTGTCCTGGAATTCACTCTGTAGACCAGGCTGGGCACGAATTCACAGAGATCTGCCTGCCTCTGCCTCTGTAATGCTAGGATTAAAGGCGTGCGCCACCACCGCCTGACCTAGCTACGTTTTTCAGATCTTTAATGTGTGTACTTCTCTGTATCACCTTGATTAGATCTTCTTTGCTTGATTAAATTTTCAGTTGTTTTCCTTTCCTGGTTCCTTCTTTGCCATTCATTCTTCATTGATTTGTCGCCACCTTTTCTCTCCAGAAGTTTTCGAGATACTCAGTTACTTTCAGTCATCTTGCATTATAGGATAAACAAAAATTTGGTAGGAAAACACCCATTCCCCTTAGTAAAAAAAAAAATAATTTTAGAAATTCTCAGGGGATTTAGTTATAAAATAATCAGTAAGTTTCAAAATTGCATTTAAAATTTTTTAATGTCATCAGGAAAAAAAATCCTTTTTACTTTCTAATTCATCTTTAAGGCGATTATCTTTGCTGGGAGAATTTCTGGAGATTTTATTTCCTTTTCTAGTTTTAAACTATCAAAGCGATCAGATTACAAGGATTCAAGGATCCGGGAAGACAAGACAACGCCTATATTAGACAAGCATAAAGTTTCTGCCTTGTGTTGGCAGGACCTTTCCCGCTCCGTCTCTCGCGAGACTTGGAAGCCGGAAGTTACACAAACGACTCTAAAGTCGCCGCGGCTCTGTTAATGTTGGCGGGAGCCGGGCGGGTGACCTGTCTGGTGCACTCGGCTGTGCGGTCCGGGCTGCGGGTGATCGAGGGCGTTGCGGTGGAGTTCCGCGGCCCGTCGGCACGATGCGGGTGGCTGTGGCCGGCTGCTGCCATGGCGAGCTGGACAAGATCTACGAGACTCTGGCGCTGGCGGAGCAGCGCGGCCCGGGACCGGTGGATCTCCTTCTGTGCTGCGGCGACTTCCAGGCGGTGCGCAACGAGGCCGACCTGCGCTGCATGGCCGTGCCGCCCAAGTACCGCCACATGCAGACCTTCTACAGGTGAGCGGCGCGCGGCTGGGCCTCGGAGCCCTCGGAGCGCACCCTGGACGGCCAGCAGGGGCGGCCTCGCGTGAGGTTCCTCCTGCCGCTGACCACGGTGTCCGGAGGACCTGGCACTTAGGAAATATCCCTGTCCTCCTTTCTGTAGACGTCCGCCTGCCCCTTCGCCCCAGGGATTGGGGAGACGACAGCAGTTTTAGATACCTACTTTGCAATTGCTAGAATTCTAGGATTAGTTAATTTAATGATCCAGTTTTTACTGGACCTGCTGTGTGCTAGTCTGGGTTCTAGAAGCCCAGACGATAGCCGTGAACTTCACAGAGTTGTTGACCTCGATGAATGTCTACTGGTTTGAGCTCAAGATTTCATTCATTCATAATGACAGGGATGGATGGATATTGGGGGACGTTTGGCTGTTTTTGAGCTCGGCCTTTTCCTTCTGACCCTGTATTGCTTTTCTGCTGTGGGTAATTTGATTCCTGACAACTTGACCTTTATCTTGTAGATATTACTCTGGAGAGAAAAAGGCCCCAGTTCTCACCATCTTCATTGGAGGAAACCATGAAGCCTCAAACCATTTGCAAGAGTTACCCTATGGTGGCTGGGTAGCACCAAATATTTACTATTTAGGTATGTGTATAAGCACACTTTTTTGTCCTGTTGGGATTTGTACCGATTGGGAAGTATCTAGAGGACATACGGTGTTGGGGGATGCTGTTAACTTAAATAATCGTGAGAACTGAGTTAAAACAGTTATTCAATGGCCAGTCATGAAAATTCATCCATCCTTCTTCTGATGGTTTAAATAATAGTATGATTACAAACATTTTGCTATTTGTAGTCTATTTTTTTCTTATTGAACTAGATTTTATAATGGAAAATATTAAACATACAGGAAAATACCAAGATAGTAAATTTCTCTACTTGTTAACTTCAACTACTCTGTTATACCCCCATACTTAAATACTTAGTATTGTTTAAATTTTTCCTGTGGGAGATGACTGGACTGTTCCTTTTATTCTCTACATTTTCCATCTTTTAAAGTTTGCAACCCTTTCATTTCTTTACTTAAATGTGGATTGTTTCTAGAGTAATTTTCAGGCTTTTCCAGTGATGGAATCGTAACTTCGGGAATTTTGTTTCTCTGTTTCATTACTGATTTATCGTCTTTCAACAGCCTCAGTATTATGAAAAGTTGAAGTTGGGCAGGGCATGGCAGCACACGCCTTTAATCCCAGCTCTTTGGAGGTAGAAGCAGGTAGATCTCTAGGAGTTTGAGGCCAGCCTGGTCTACATACATAGTGAATTCCAGGCCACCCACAGCTACATAGTGAGACCTGTCTCAAACAAACAAACAAAAAGAAAAGGTGAAATTGTCAGAGGAGTCAAAAATGAAATGTAGAAACTGCATGTTCTTTATACATTATACCTGTTGATTGATTCCTACTGTGTAATTCCAGCACAGGACATGTTTCTTCCTCTCTCTAATTCCTGCCACCGATGGCATGTCCAGCTGGGTGCCACTGTGTTTCTGTTTGATTTTAACATCTGACCTCCTTCATCCTTTAGCATACACTCAGTCTCCTGGCTGATTGATTCCAGGCTTTCTCTGCCTTGTATATCATCAGCATATTAACGGTATATGAGGAGTAGTAACCTTATTATGACAAATATTTTCAAATAATATGAGGACTTGTTAGGGTCTGAGAGAAGCCCCCAAGAAAGACCATCAGTCACGAAGGCAATCAGCAAGAGCATTTATTATTTCCAACATGTTGGGGTGGCAAATAGCGACTCCGAAGGGAAGTCAAAAGCTCCTTTTAAACAGAGTTAGGGGAATTCCAGGGAGGAGGGATTAATCTGGTGCTGATTGAGGGAGAAAAGATTAGTCTGGGGGCTGATTGGTGGGAGGATCTAGTGGTTAGAGACCTTCCAGCTGCAGGGTAGGGAAAGCTATCTTTTACTTACCAGGGTGGGGGCTCCTGCTGAGCCAACAGAAGGCTGGGGGAACCTGCTGATTGGTTGCCCCTAAGTTGTGATCTTCTTGAGAACTGCTTGCTCAGCTCCAACCAGTTCCAGTAAACAGAAACTAAGGCCTGGTCCCTGGCAGGGCTGTTAGAAACCTGTCATGGCTCTGGTCTGGTTCCCCAGCCCTCTCAGACTATTTAGAATTCCAGGCTTCTACATGGCTTATTCTCTTAGTAGATTCCTTCTGCCTATAACATTTTACTGAATTGCATAATTTTTCAGGTTTGGCTGGTGTAGTAAAATACCGAGGTATAAGGATTGGTGGAATCTCTGGCATCTTTAAATCTCATGACTATCGAAAAGGTATTGTTTGGGGTTTTTTTTGTTTTTTTGTTTTTTTAAGACAGGGTTTCTCTGTGTAGCTTTGCGCCTTTCCTGGAACTCACTTGGTAGCCCAGGCTGGCCTCGAACTCACAGAGATCCGCCTGGCTCTGCCTCCCGAGTGCTGGGATTAAAGGTGTGCACCACCACCGCCCGGTGAAAAGGTATTGTTTTGAGTGAATAACTTTTATATTTTAGAGCTTGCATGCCCTAGAGTAAAATGAGCAAAATTTATAGTTTGACTTATCCATCAAATTTCTTGTATACATGATACTATTCTTAATTTTTTTTTAAAGATTTATTTATTTATTATGTATACAGCATGTATGACTGCAGGCCAGAAGAGGGCACCAGATCTCATTACAGATGGTTGTGAGTCACCATGTGGTTGCTGGGAATTGAACTCAGGACCTCTGGAAGAGCAGTCAGTGCTCTTAACCTCTGAGCCATCTCTCCAGCCCTTAATTTTTTATTATAAGTATTTTATGCACATGAAAATGTAGATACTATATAGCGTATCTATGTGTTTATGATCTAGTTTTATCAATTCAGTGTCAATTTTAATTTGATTTTTAAGAAATATAACAGTATAGGTATAACTGAAGTTCATTGTTGACCTGACTATCCTATTCCTCTTCTTTCCCCCTCCCAATAGACAGGGAATTGCTGTTTCCAATTGAGTGTCTATCATTCACTTGATTATTTCATCTCACTACTGAATATGCAGGATTCCTGGTTTTTTTTTTTTTTTTTTTTTTTTTGGAGGTGAGGATCGAACCTAGGGCCTTGCGCTTGCTAGGCAAGCGTTGTACTACTGAGCTAAATCCCCAACCCGGGATTCCTGTTTTTATGTGTTGAACAGTGTTTTGCTTGCATCTTTTGCAGCTTGCTTCCTGGTTTAATGTGGTTCTTTTATTATTATTATTAATTTTTGTTGTAGGAATTTAGCAGAGTCATTGTATCTGGGGTAGATATTAGAATGAACAGCTGTTTTTTAGAAGTACTTTAACCTTGAAGAATCCTTGTGGAAAACAGTGATTGTTTTGCTGAAGGGTCATTGCAGACATCCCAAGATTTTGGTTACAAGATGCCTCAGGCACACCTGAGACTCTGTCTTATTGTGTATTGCAAAGGATACATAATAAAGGACTAGAGTTATGGGGGCATGTGATGCTCTCCTTTAGTAAGACACGTAAATTAGATTAGGGACCTTGGTATGAAGAAATACTTTGTGTAACAATAAGTACATCTTTGTATGGCTGTTCAGGGTTCAGTTCATCAGAGAAGCTGGACCTTCCTGCTGCCACATAGGCCTTAAAATTTCATCTTGGAATGTCTCCTTTCTTCAATCAACCTGTGCTACAAGGTGCACCCAACAAATTTTTTCATTTCTTTTACATCTGACCACAGTTTCCTCTCCCTCCTCTCCTCCCTTCCCCCTTCCCCTTCCCCCACTAGTCCACTCCTCTTCTGTTTCTGTTCAGAAAGGGGCTGGCCTCCCATGGGTGTCAACAAAGCATAGCATATCAAGTTGAGGTAGGACTAAGCTCCTCCCTTTGTATTAAGGCTGGGAGAGGCAATCCAGTGTGGGCAGTAGGTTCCCAAAAGCCAGCTCAAGTGTTAGGGACAGGCCCTGATCCCACCGCTAGGAGTCCTACAAATAGACCAAGCCATACAACTGTCACACATATGTACAGGGCCTGGGTTGGTTCCAGGCTTAACATGTTTTTGAAATCCATGTCTTTACTTGTTATCTGTAATCTGTTCATTTGTGGATAGTTTCGTTGTATGGACACACCACTGTATCTAACTGGTTTTTAGTTAGAGCAGTGGCTTAGATTCATACATATTGCACAAATTTTTTGAATTAAATTGGCAACTAAAACACATTTAATTGTAACTGTTAATTGCAAGTCTGTTTCCTTACCCCTCTCTGCTCTCCGAGGTGCTAACCTGTTGGCATGGACTACAAAGATGGGCTCTTTGTTACTGGTCCATGTGAATGTAAATTTGGAACCACTTTTGGAAAGACAATGGTAATACAGTTTATTTCTCTTCAATTTCAGGTCATTTTGAGCGCCCCCCTTATGATTCATCTACCATAAGGAGTATATATCATGTGAGAAATATAGAGGTCTACAAGTTAAAACAGGTATGTGAAAAGTACACAATAGACTTGAAATAAATTTTGTACTAAAATGTGTTTGATTATATTGGCTTGCAACATTTGAGAATAGCAATTCAGTATTTCTAAAATTTAGAGTTTGAATAGTCTTTAGGAGGTTCACAGGTGAACAAATTTTAATTTTTAATAGTTAAAAGTTTATTTTAACGTGCAGTTGTAAAACATTTAATTTATGGTTTCACATATTATACTTAGGTTAAGAATAAAGTGTATGTACTAAAATAAAATAATATTTTCAAATAAATATTTTAGCTGAGTGAGATGGTATAAACCTAATCCTGTCATTTAGTAGGCTGAAGCAAGAAGATTATGAAGTTGAGGTTAGCCTGGGCTACAAAGTAGAATCTTATCTCAGAAGTGAAAATTTTATATTACTAAATTTTAGTATTAGATAAAAATGACTAAATAATAATATTTAATAGAAAACAACTAGTGGGAAAGATGATAGGGGATGTGAGAAATTGTGAAGATGGTCTCAAAATACTGACTTAACTGGTGAATGAAACTTAAGTTGTTGAGAACCCACTCCAGGGGTGATACGGGGCTGAGCGGTTTTCACACATAGTATTTTATATAATCTCGTTCAAATTTGGGGAGGTAGCTCTCACTCTGCCTTCCCTAATTAAGAGTACCAAGTCAAGGTGTAGTCAGACAAGAAACCTGCCCAGGACCTCCCCGTCTCAGTATTCATGTCCTGCACTGTCCCTCGAGCTGCAGTGCGTGGTGTGCTCACAGCCCTTTCCTACGATCTGTTTGTTCTTTTCTCTTGGTGGCTTTTTACCCCTTATAACCCAACTGGATGCTCCTGTCCAACCACCACCTCTCTGGTTGGGGGCCATCGCCCTTCTTCAATTCTGATTATCCATTCAGTGACTATTATAGCTGACCTACATTACAGATTGTCTTAAATAGTAATTGTTTCAACTTAGTTTCCCAAGTACTTGTTTCATATACTTGATAGTGCTAAAGAGGAAGTAAAGTGTAGAACATATTTTGTGTTTTCCTTATAAGCAACTCTAGATATTAATTTATGTAGCACAGGGAGAATTTTGAGTTGGTACTACGTGAATATGTTAGGAAAAAACTGACGGTAGCGTAGAAGTCTGTACTGAAGGCCGACCGTGCAAGCACTCCGCCACCCATCTACATTCCCATCTCCTAATGTTTTCTGGTTAAGTTTTTGGGTTTACTGTATTAATTATCTTGAAATCTTATTAAATCTGTGTTCTCTAGATCTTCAAAATTATAATTTCTTTACTAGATGAATTAACACAGAAAGCTAGATTATCAGTCTATAAGAGCTGGTGCATGTGGTATAGAGAGGAAGGGGTTGGTTTGTTTAGTCTATTTTTTTCTTTTCTTTTTTTAAAAAAGATTTATTTATTTATTTAATGCACACTGGTTTTTTTCCTGTATATATTCTGTGTGAGGGTGTCGGGTCACTTGGAATTGGAGTTACAGACACTTGTGAGCTGCCATGTGGGTGCTGGGAATTGAACCGGGTCCTCTGGAAGAGCAGTCAGTGCTCTTAACCACTGACCCATCTTCTCCAACCCCTGTTAGTCTGTTTTTAAGAATTTTCTTTCTGTTCTTCTATTCTTCAAGTTGAAGCAGCCTGTAGATATATTCTTATCTCATGACTGGCCAAGAAGTATATATCATTATGGAAATAAGAAGCAGCTTCTTAAGACCAAATCTTTTTTCCGCCAAGAAGTGGAAAATAACACGCTAGGGAGTCCTGCTGCCTCGGAGCTCTTAGAACACCTCAAGCCTGCCTACTGGTTTTCTGCACACCTTCATGTGAAATTTGCAGCCTTGATGCAGCATCAGGTAGGACAGAAAATATCGGTCCTTATCTTTAATTAACACTTACTGAACATCCATGAACCAGGCACCGTGGGTACAGTGGTAAAGCCAGAGACGGGGCCAGGCGGTGGCGATTTGTCTTTAATCCCAACACTCGGGAGGCAGAGCCAGGCAGACCTCTGTGAGTTTGAGGCCAGCCTGGTCTACAGAGTGAGATCCAGGACAAGACAGGCACCAAAACTACACAGAGAAACCCTGTCTCAAAAAAAAAAAAAAAAAAAAAAAAAAAATTAAAAAAAAGCCAGAGACGGAAACACAACTCGCCTCTTAGGAGTTGCTTGCTCAGTACTCAGTGTGGGAAAGAAATGAGGAAGCAATTACAGAGCAAGGTGAGTGTGGTAGAAAAGTTTGGCTGAGGTGTTGGAGGGACCCAAGCAGACTGGTGGGCTCAGATTGGTCTACTGATGGAGAGGACAGTTCCAAAGGACTGCATGTCTGAGCTGCATCTGGAGGTCTCAGGAGACGGAGTCTATGAGTGTTGTAATAGAGGGACCAATGCATGAAGACTTATGGGTCTGAGTGCACAGTGCGCTTGGTACTAGTTCCTATCCCTGAGGTGTAGAGGCAGATATAGACGGAACAGAGTCAGTACTGCTTTCTGGGTAGAGCTTGGGCACTTATTCCTAGAGTTAGTTAGTTAGTTAGTTAGTTAGAAAGGGTCTTAGGAATATTCTCAAATAAAACTATGTTTCAGAAACATACTTGTAATGTAGGGAAGGGTTTGGTCCAGTACTTGGGGAAGCACTGCATGTCCCAGCCATTCCAGAAAGACAGTGCTCATTGGGCCATTAGAGCTCTGAGAAGGTCTCCAGAAGACTTGCAGAATTCTCCAGCTGTTAACCTGCATTTCTTAGGTGGTTTCCCTATGGAGTACTTGATGAGAAAGCAAGATTTGGGTGTTAACTGGAAGGTGATGGGAAAGGTGGAGACTGGTGGAACCAGGTGGTTGTTCTAGAAAGACTAATGGGCAGGTTTGTGTGTGAAATGGAGTGATGGCAACAGAGAGAGGGTGCTGCAGAGCAAAGGGCAAGGAGCACAGAGGATGAAGCAGGCTCTAGAGAGGCTTTGGGGGCAGAGCAGTAAGCATGTGGTGAGAAGGAGGGAGTACAGGATGACTACCAGAGGGGATTTTTTGGAGGGGGAGGGGGGTTGGAAACCATTTAGAAAATTCAGGGTTAGCAGTTGGAGATTTCTTAAAGTCTTTTATAGAGTTTCTCAGTCTTTAATGCATTAATGAGCACTTTGTAGAAAGGAATGTCATGTGTAATGCTTCCCAAACTACTTTCCTACTTTAACAACACTTCTGAGATAGTTTGTATCTGAAAGTAGCCCAAAGCACTTTCAGCTGTGGTCTTATTCCAGAGGGGCGGAAGTTACACTTTCATTTATCTGTGGCCACTCAGTGACTGTGCTTGCTTGACATCCAAGCATGCCTTTCCACATCCCGCTACTTTCTTTTGCTTAAGAGACAGTGGGGATCTCGTTATGTAGATCAGGCTGGCCTTGAATCCAGATCTGGCTGCCTCTGCCTTCTGAGTGCTGGGATTAGGGACTTGTGTTACCATGTCCAACTGACTCTTGAGCTGTTTTTTTGTTTTGTTTTGTTTTTTGGGTTTTTTGTTTGTTTGTTTGTTGTTTTGTTTTGTTTTTGAGACAAGGTTTCTCTGTGTAGCCTTGGCTGTCCTGGAACTCACTCTGTAGACCAGACTGGCCTCGAATTTATAGAGATCGCTTGCCTCTGCCTCCACAAAGTGCTGGGATTAAAGGCGTGCACCACCACCGCCCGGCTAATTCACTGAGTTTTAAGTAAATGTCTAGAGTTGTATGAATATCACAGTCCAGTTTATTGGTTTGTTTTGTTGAGACAGGATTTCTCTGTGTATCCCTGGCTGTCCTGGAACTCAGAAATCCACCTTCCTCTGCCTCCCAAGTGCTGAGATTAAAGGCGTGCATCACCACCTGGTTCACAGAGCAGTCTTAGAACTTGTCCATTTTTTTCCCCAGAATCTTTTGTGTCCATCTGTAATCAGCTTTGCATCCGTAGTTGTAGACGACCACTGATTTCTGTTGTCTCTTCTGAATAATTCATGTAAAAAGAGTTTTTAGTAGCTAGTTTCTTTCATTTGTTTGTTTTTATGAGTCACTCATGTAACACACGTCAGTATTTGACATCATTACGTTGTGAGTGTTTGTTTTGAGTTTTGGGGGAAATGGCAGCCAGTAGTGGTGAAGTGCTTTGCGCTCCACTGTCCAAGTCGGTGTAGACTTTTCCCTTTTTCTTATCTGTCTGTCTTCTCCTTTTTCTGGTCTTTCTCTCTCTCTGTTTTTTCTTTTTGGTAGTCATTCTTTTGACACAGAATTGGGAGCACGTAAGAAATGTTATTTCTGCTCTATTCAATATATGAATTACTTGTGATGTTTTAACATTCTTACATCATGGTTTGTGTCATCTAGGCCGCAGATAAAGAACAAGCAGGCAAAGCAACCAAGTTTTTAGCTTTGGACAAATGTTTACCACACAGAGACTTTCTTCAGGTAATAAGAAAATGAGTAATTTTACAAAAGTTTTACTCTTTCAATGATTTTAAAGAAATAGTTTTTACTTCAGAATTTATTTGTACTATTTATAATTTATGTTTTCTGAGAATTTTTTGGCGTTGTTTATGTTAACATTTTAAATTAACTAGATTTAAAATTATTAGAGTGTTAACATAAATGAATTACCTAAAATTTCCGATTTTGTCCTATAGGTGTTAGAAGTAGAACATGACCCCAGTGCTCCTGAGTACTTAGAGTATGATGTTGAATGGCTTACTGTTCTCAGGGCCACTGATGACCTGATCAATGTGACCCGGAACCTATGGAATATGCCTGAAAATAATGGTCTGCATACAAGGTAGTTTTGCTCACTTTCGAACTTGCCCTCTGCACTGTGTCCAGTGCAGTGTCTCTGATCTGTGTTGTATTCTGGTCCCTGGAGAGTTTGCTTTGTCTGCAGAGAAGATGGGGTGAGGTGACAATGTGTTTTGGGGATCTGAGCATTTGGGGAGGCTCCTGGCAAGTGCCTGTTTGATGTCCTGACGCACTTGTGAGGTGTAAGTGGTTGCCTGTTGTCTCTAATTTGGGCCTGCCTGGGGGACTTACACCCATTAGCCCCTCCAGGCACTGGCCAGGAGACCCCAACTTTGTACTCAAGGTTAACTGATAGTGGAGAAAGCTACAAGTTTTTGTCTGAGGCTGACAAAAGAAAGGGTCTGTTAAACGTCAACCCAAGTAAGTTTATGAATGTATAAGCATGCTTCAGACTATGGCATGGTGAAGGTTTAGTTCACATACACGTATTTGTTTTGAGGGATGAGTAAAGTTTTTTCGTAGAGTTGTTTTTTATTTCTAAAGATTCTTTGCTAAGTTAATTGTAATTTTACCATATGGGTTTTTTAATTTTTAATTTTTATTTTATGTATGTACCCTGCATGAGTGTCTGGCACCATGTGTATGCCTGGTACCTATGGAGGCCAGAAGAGGGAGTCAGATCTCTTGAAACTGGAGTTAGAAATGGCTATGAACTGCCATGTGGGTGCTGGGAATTGAACCCGGACCCTCTGAGAGAGTGACTAGTGTTCCTAACCACTGAGCCATCTCGGCAGCTCTTGTGTAGAATTTTTAAGGTTTCTTTTTTAATCCTTACGACTGAAGTCCATACTTAGGGTTCTTACTAACTCTTTGAAGGTGGTAACATGTACAAACCAGTCGCTCTGATTGTTACAGGTGGGATTATAGTGCAACAGAAGAAGCTATGAAAGAAGTGATGGAAAAGCTGAACCATGACCCCAAAGTCCCCTGTAACTTCAGCATGACAGCTGCTTGTTATGACCCTAGTAAGCCACAGACGCAAGTGCAGCTGGTTCACAGGATCAATCCGCAGACTACGGAATTCTGTGCCCAGCTGGGCATCACAGACATTAACGTCATACTTCAGAAGGTCAAGGTCAAGCCTTATCTGTTTGGTGAATATGAAGAGCGGGGTGATCCGGGGACCGATGACTCTGAAGAAGACCGGAGTGAATACAACACGGACACATCTGCCGTGTCCTCCATTAATCCAGATGAAATCATGCTGGATGATGAGGAGGAGGAAGTTGTAAGTGCTTGCAGTGACATGAACACGCCTTCTGTAGAACCTTCTTCCGATCAAGCTTCCGACTTCTCCACAAGCTTTTCCGACGTCAGGAACTTGCCAAGCTCCATGTTCGTGTCTTCTGATGATCCGTCCCATTCTCCGACGGTTAGGGAGGGGAAACCTGGGGAGACTGTGCAGTCTGCGGATGAAAAGGACTTAACTGAGTTTCCACTGAAGAGGCTGAGTAATGAACATGAGCCTGAGCAAAGAAAGAGAATTAAGAGGAGGAATCAAGCCATTTATGCTGCAGCAGACGACGATGATGATGATGATGACGACAGGGACTTGTCTTAGCGATGTATGTAGTAGGTGATTTCAAGACCCTGTTTTTAGGGTTGAATTTTTGATTTATTATTGAACTTTGTAATAATGAAATGATGGAATTTTAGTTCTCTATCAACTTTGTTTTTAGGTGTATGTTTCAGATATAAACTTATTAAAATTTCATATGAAATTTGGTTGACCATTTTTTGAAGACATTCACTTCCATTTTTGTCAGCACTTACTGTATTTGAACTTCCGAGAAACTGTTCTCTAAGAAGGGACTATGAAGATAAACTAAGATGGATTTTGTAAATGTTTGGATGCATAAAGCGTCACTTAATTGCTGAAATTAATATCCTGTTGGCTCTTGTGTATTATATTTTAGCCTAAATTTTTATGTAACTGGTAGCTGTATTAAAAGTTATCCTGGCCCAGTGCAGTTTAGTATTAATTACCAACAAGATTGTCTAAATGCTGTCTCTTGCTGCATGATAGATTGCTAGGAGTAAAGTATTGTCAAATGTCCATGTCAAATAACTCCACCCCGCTTGTTTCTAAATTACCATACCTGGGCTACCTGAGATTACCTCTGGACTTGGGAACAGAATCATAGCTCCAAGGGTCTCCTCCTCATCCCACTGCAGTCCAAATCCAGGCATTAGTTTAGGGAAATCCTGAAGTGGTGGGCTTCCATTCTGCCAGCATTTGACGTCAAAGCTTTGGGACTTTGAAGCTTTTATGTTTGTTCCCTTCCATTTTTTTCATTTAAAAGATTATTTTCTTATTTACATAAGGTATTTGAAACTGAATTTTCCCCATTAGTTTGAATTCCACAAATTCAGATCATGGTTTTCTCCAGAAAAGTTTTTCTAACAAGAAAAAGAACACATGTATGCCTGAGGCAATTTGTAGTATTAAACTACCCCGAATTTTTTTCTTTTTTCTTTTTTCTTTTTGGTTCTTAGAGACAGGGTTTTATTGTATAACAGCCTTGGCTGTCCTGGAACTCGCCTTGTAGACCAGGCTGGCCTCAGGAGATCCACCTGCCTCTGCCACAGAGTGCTGGGATTAAAGGCGTGTGCCACCATGACCTAGCTCTTGAAAATTCTTAAAGCAGAAAATAGTTACATATAAGACAAAATGCTAGAATTAGTAGATGTTGATTCTAAAAAACAAAATAATGCTCTAGTTTTCCCGAATCAAGAAAGAATACAAATGCAGGCTGTGCAGATCTCAGACAAACAAGTTCCAGATCAGCCAGGGCTATGTAAAGAGACTGTCTCAAAAAAATTTTAAGTATGCAAATACAAAGATGCAAAAATATTATAATATTGTCTAAACTTGGTAGAAAGTATGGTTAGAATTTCTTAGGAACATAGGATTTATTGATGTCAATTGTAGTTGAAATGGAGTAAATACGAAAGTTATCAGAAAAACGATTCCCATAAAGTACCTGGTGGCTTTGTGACAGCTTGTCCTGCCTGTTACCACAAAGGCCAATGGGCAGAGACAAATTGAATCATTTAGTTATGTTCTATTCAGGTGGTGGGCAATCTGAAGACTGCGCTGTGTTCACACCCTAGGAAGAATGAACCACATTGTCTTGCACTTCCAGCCAGCAGGCTATGTAAGGAGAGGCAAAGGGTCCAGAGCTTACACTCTCCTGTGGTCAGGTGGTCAGTCCTGTCCCTGACATTCATGGTGCTGGTGTCTCATTGTCTGTACTTCTCACTTGTTATTGTCCCTGGAACACCTATGTTTGGACACTCCCAAGGACACTGAGTGGTTAGTGTCCACAGGTGGTATCCTGTGTTCCTCCGAGTGCCACCTGGGCTTGAGGTTTAACTCAATGAGCCAGCCAGCAGTGTGTGCCCAGTGAGCTGTTTATGATGTGTACATGCAGATTTTCTTCTGTAATGAGTACAGGCCCTGTAGCGGAATAGTCCAGTTTCCTCCGGAAAACGTTTAAAGCCAGCTAATCTCTCCTGTTAAACAAACTGTTCCACAACATTGAAAAAGAATAGGTTCTTTTTATGAAGCAAGTGTAATGCCAATGCCAAATCTAAAGTAGATGATGTGAAAAAGTAACAACCTCACAAAATGTCAGCAAGCCTTGGGGCTGGGGAGATGGCTCGGCAGTTAAGCGCATTGGCTGCTCTTCCAGAGGATCTGGGTTTGATCCTTGGCATCTACATGGAAGCTCACAACTGTCTGTAATTCCAGTTCCAGGGGATTTGATACCCACTTCTGCCCCACTTGTGTATCATTCACACATATGGTACAGACATACATTCAAACAAATACACATGTACACATAAAACAATAAAAGTACATTTAAAGATGACGTGGCATGAGTCATACGTACAGTAGAGGTGGTTCAATACTGTGAAACCTATTGAGACAATAGAGGTGATAAGTCTAAGAACAAACCATGATGATTTCCATAGATAAGGAAAGGGTCTTTGACAAAATTGAGCCCCGGATTTCTGGTAGTGTAAAAAATGAAAATCTACCATCCAGCTTATTTTGGAAAGAGTAAGCATTTATCAAGGACAGGGACAGCTACTGCCTCCGCTGCAATCTACATTGTCTTGGAAAGACCAAACAAATCAGACAAGAGAAAAGGCTGAGGGCAATCAGTTGCAGGGAAGAGCTCCACATGTGGATGGCCTGGTAGTTTAGGGAGAAAACACAAACTCCAGACCAAAGTCAATATAAGCATCACCATACCCCAGGATAGTAAGGTAAAGTGATGTGGGCGGGGGATGCAGCTTAGTAGAGCACTTGCCTGACCTGCACAAAGCTGGAGGGATGAAGGCTGGGGTGGGGATGGTGTCCAATCCTTAACATCACATACATTGAGCGTGGTGCTGTACACCTGTAACCTCGGCACTTGGCAGGTGGAGGCAGGAGGATCAGGAATTCTGGAATACATGAGACCTTGTCTCAGATGATAGTAATAATGATAATAATAAAGTACAAATCAGTATCAATAAATACAGATAATAAATAAATAATAAGAAATCTCCAAAAGTTATAGTGAGGAAAGAAAACCCAGAAATATACCTTGCTCCAGATCATTGCAATTCTGTGGTCATCATATGCCTAGGGATAAAGATGTTACCACTCTAAACAGAACAAAGCAAATATAGTTTAAATTATATTATTAGACTGCAATTCTTGATAGTCTATATTATTAAAATGTCAAAAAAGGTGTTTTTTTTTTTTTTCAAGACAGGATTTCTCTATGTAGCCTTGACTGTCATGGAACTCACTCTGTAGTCCAGGCTGGCCTTGAACTAATAGAGGTCCTTCCGCCTGCCTGTGCCTCCGGAGTGCTGGGCTTAAAGGTGTGCACCACCACTGCCTGGCTAAAATGTCAAATTTAATTCTAGGAAATAAGCTAGTTTTATAAACACATTGGTTTTAGCTTGGTTACCAAGCCATTTTAAAATACTGCATGATGGGGCTGGAGAGGTGGCTCAGTGGTCATGAGCTCTTGCTATTCTCGCAGTGGTCCACGGTTTGATACCCAGCACCCACATGGTGGCTCACAACCATATATAAAGTTGCTGAGTATCTAACTCCCTTCTCTGCCTCCAAGGGCATCAGACTCACATACACACATACATACATGTGCACAATACAGACAAAACTCATACATAAAAACTAAAAATAAATCTTAAAAGCAATGTTAAAATTTTCTGCATGAGTATTTCTAAGAGGCTAGCTATCACAACTGCAGACTCTAGGTAAATAGACCAAGGTCACTCTGACTACCACCCTGCCTTTTTTTCACTAAGTAGCCCAGGCTGGCCTTGAGTTTGAAATTTTCCTGCCTTAGCTTCCCAAGCACTGCGATTACAGTGTGTGCCACCAGGCCCTGCTGTTTTTGCAAACCCAGGACGTGCATGTCAGGTGAATCCTCCATCACTGAGGAACAAATACCTAGGATGGTGGGAACATGGGTGGGGATAAGTTAGAGGAGTTGGAGGGGTGCAGGTGAGGGTTCCCAGGACTTGACCCTCCCTACTGGGATCAGGTTGACCGTGGGACACAATGTCTTCACAGAAAAAGTTAATTCAAAGTCCAGAGGGAAGATGATCAAAGTCAAAACCACTGTCAAGAAGCGGCAGCTAGAGCTGCCCTAAGAGATCATGAAGGGAGTTCTTGTGTCCCTGCACTTCCACTAGGGGGAGCTACTATGTATCTTTCCAGTCTTCCAACCTTAGCTTCTGTTTGTGTTCTGCTCAGAAATCTGTAATGGTATCTCTGCTCTCAGAGGCAAGCCTCTGGCTCCTGTCCCTGCCCTCTTTATTTATTTTTTGAACTTCTATGCTTCAACAGCTCTCGATGGAATCCAGTGACAGATGGCCAACCAGTATATGAAATCCCTTAAACCTGAGAAGCAGTAATTCATACATTCTTGTCATTGTAATACTTTCCCCTGCTAGGATATATATCATGGAAATGATTCTATGTCCATATATTAAAATCTTTGGTTTTTGTTTCTCATGGGACTTTGTTTTATTTATTCTTAAATTTAAAGATTTTTTTTTATGTGCTGGAAAAATGGTTCAGCAGTTAAGAATGCTTGCTGTTCTTGGAAAGCACTGATAAACCTAAAAAAGAATTTTTAAAATTTTCTAGGTTATGTGTGTGTATCTGTGTATTAGAATGTGCATGTAGTACAGGTGCCCAGGGAGCCAGAAGTGTTAGATGCCCCCCCCCCCCCCAACTGGAGTTCCAGGCAGCTGTGAGTTGTCTAATAAGGGTTCTGGGAACTGAACTTGAGTCCTCTGCAAGAGCAATACACTCTTAACCACCGTCATCTCTCTAGAACCTTATTTTTAAATTTAAATAGATTGTGGAAAGTATTGTATATATTCATTATATATAACATGATATTTTGATATGCTCTCTGAAATAAATGTATCTAGCTAATTTAAAAAATGTTTTACTGGGATTGTGGATTTAGCTCAGTGGCAGAGTGCCTGCCTAGCAAGTACAAAGCCCGGTTTCTGTCCTCAGCTCCAAAGGGGGATGGAGCATGCGAACCACAAACAACCAAGGCATTCCTTCTAAGTGGTTAGCTTAAAACCAAAAAATACACAAACAACAGACTTATCCAAACTCAAAGAGAAAATACCATGTGAGAGCCAGTCTGTGAGCTTTCTTGGCCCAGGACCCACAGCTTCCTCAATCCGTCTGGTTACAGGGGACAAGGAGACATGGAGACTTCAGGTCGTGCTCAGGATGGCTGGAGAACACTCATCACTTGTGGGCACAGACAAAGGGTAGAGATGGAGAAGCCTACATCTCTACAGGCTGTCAGGCTGAGGCTTCAGTTCACAGAAGGACCAGAGCGACCAACACCAGGCCTGTTCACACTCTCTCCCCCTGGCCCAACAGTAGCTAGACTCTTGGAAACTCAGTTTGGAGGATGGATGGACATGACCACTCTGTGGTATGGTTAAGAGGAAGATTTTTATTGTAGATTAGAGAAACAGAAGGGGGTGGAAGAAGAGAGAGAGAGAGAGAGAGAGAGAGAGAGAGAGAGAGAGAGAGAGAGAGAGAGAGCAGAGACAGAGAGACACACACACAGAGAGAGAACAGCCAGAGACATCTGGGAGAGTCTAGAGCCAAGAGAGAAAGAAGTAGACTGAACATGACTTGCAGATGGGACTTGGCCAGGGCTCTCTGTGAGAGAGGGGAGAGTAGCAGGGGATAGAGAACAGAGAACACACATGGTGAGAATATCAGGAGCATAGGGAAAACAGTGAGAATAGCAGGGCTGTAACGAGAACGAGTCGCTGGGGAGAGGGAAGCCTGTGAACTGGAAGGAGTCTAAGGTAGGGGAAGAAGTGAGAAGGGCTAGGATGCTAGCAGGGATTTTGAAATGTATAACAGGTACTTGTAATGCTGAGGGAGCCTGGAGACCAGCATGTGCTCTGATACCCTGGTAGGCACCACAGGTGTATGTCTCTTCTGCCAGAAGTAAGGGAAATGACTCCTTTTGGTAGCCGGGAACCAGTTTCACAAGTTCCTGAGGAATGCTGGCTTTTGTCTAACCACCAGAAATCCTCCTATATAGGCCAGGTTGAGCTCACTTCTGGGTATTTGGACTGCCTTCTGGAGTCTGGAGCATTGGAGTTTCCTTTCAACCTAATACAGGAGAATTGAAGAATTTCCTTGTCTAGAGAATTCCTGCCTGCCCTCTTAGAAGGTTCTTGCATCCAGCTAGCTTTATTAATATTATCGCTATTGTTATTTTTAAAGGGCACAGAGAACTCAGTGTAATTTTCTACACCTGAGGCAGGCTGAAGCCAGCCAGAGCCTATGAGAAGGGCCTCTTGTAAGATGCTCAGGTGTGTACCTTCCCCGTGGGACTTGGTAGAAGGATCAACAAGTTTACCAGCCTTCCCATCAGCTCTCACCCTCCCCCAGGATTAGACTGATGACACTGAGAGCCACAGGTGACAAAAATCTACAGCGTCCAAAGGTTTCCTTCTTTGCTCAGGGCCGATATAAACTGTCTGTCTCTCCCAGACAGAGACACCGTGAAGTTCCCTCACGAATCCGCTCCATCACCGAGAACCATCTTGGAGCCCAGTCTCAGTCCCAGTCCTTGGGGGCTTTTAAGACACACATATCTCGGATGAGCAGGTGGGTGAGAAGCGGGGTGGTATGGAATGAGTCTCAGAACCAGCCTTGCAGTCTTCTACAACACGATGGTTTTGTGGGGGAGAGGAGGCATCCACCCCTCAAATTTGTACCTAGAGATGTGGGCAAAGTGGGACAGGAGGGAAAAACAAAAGGACAAAGTGGCCATACAACTCGTGAAAGTCACTTAATGCTTCTCTCATGGGTGTCCCCTACCCTGGTTGTTTGGGTTTTCTCCAGTGTAGGCAGGACCTGTTCTAACTGGGAGAGTTGCTGCTCTGGAAGTCTGGTGAGTCCTGTTCATTGATGGTGTTCAGCGGCAGCCCACAGCCATGGCAGATGGGGGTACCCAGGCCAGGCAGAGAGATCCCTTTCTCTTCAGTGACTCCACTCTAGGGTCTTTAGTGGCTGCACTGTCAGCGGGCACTTCAGAGGGCTTTGTCCACACAAGGGACTGCAAGGCTATGCTGAAGAGGCAGCAAGCTCTGCTATTGCAGCTGGAAGGCACTGTACCATGGGATGGGGAAGGAGTTGGAGGTCGTTCACCACTTCCTTAAAATGAGGTAGTAAATATTTTAATAAAACTCTGAAGCAAAATGGCAGTGATGAGCAACTGTGGGCTTCCCCGTAGGCAATCGATTTCATGTTGTCTCTGGGATGATGATGGTGGTGATGGTGGTG